GGTCCTTCCCGGCGTTGCAGCTCTCGAGCAGCACTGCTTGACGAACACGGTTTGAACACGAAGGGGCGCGAAGCTGATTGTGCCAAATGGTGGCTGCTGTCAGGAACCTAGCTCAAGGCAGCATTGGTGCACTCGGGTCCTGATTGGAATTTCTGGATACCAGATCTGGTTTGGGGTACCTTGGCGACAACTGCGGAGCACGCTCCCGCGACCTTGACAAAGCAAGGCTGAGCGGAATCAAGGACCTGACGTGGCTCACGGCGGTGAGGGTGACAACGCTTGATCAGGTAGTGCGCCGTGCCTGGAGGGTTCAACAGGTCCGAGGAGATGATGAGGTCGATAAAGGAGAGGGCAGGCCTCTGTGATCATCTCACAACTCCAAATTTCATATAATGTTTGTTCAGCTGGCTCTGTCACCGAGATGGCTTATGGTCGTGCTCTTTCTGACTTTCTGATGAGTCTACAAGGTAACACGCGGTGGCGCAGTGCTCCCGGATAGGGCTCGCGTCAGACCTGACACAGGAAATCTGCGGCGATGTGGAGTTCACCTTGTCCTTGTTCTGTGCTTTTTGCAAAAATTGTCGCAGACATGGAACTTTGATATATCTAGATACAAGAACAAAGTCCCAGACCTGGCGGTGCGCGAGATCTTGGGCAGGCAGGAAGAAGTTCCTCAGAACCTGGGCCTGCTCCTCAAGTCATGTTCTCCATCTAGAGGGTAGCCATGTTGGGCGGCGCGATCGCCGAAGCCAAGGCAACTACGAAGTTGAAGTTCAGGACGGCGCCGCCTGAGCAAGAGCTCTCGCTGCGTTCATGATGCTGATTGCCGCGATCTAGAGAGTGGCGTCCTCCTTGAAACAATACGTCTCCTCCAGGAGATCTAACTAAAATGGTAGAGGATCCCAGAAAAGTCACTGCATGAGACTTTTTGGGGAAGATCATGCTGAGTTCTGCGAGCTGCTGTGGCAGGCTATCCCGATGTCATTCTGACGTACTCCAGGGAGCCGGCTCGCAAGTTCGTGTTGTCTTGTTCAAGGAGCGATGGCTTTGGGCGAGGTCGCGGAGCTGCCTGCCCGGCGCGACTGTTCGATGATTTCTCCTGGCGCCTGACTCCCTGCTCAGCGCCAGCAGCCGAACTCGACAAGCCCAAGCAGCATGACACCGGGCTTCCGTGTGCTGCAGGGCAGGAGGCTCTGCTGGACATGATGTCTGGGGAACCAATTCCTTAATTTCTTTCATGATGGCCCGGCCTGTTGTCCTTTCAGGTGGTGAAGGAACCCTCCCTCTTCTTTGTGGATTTGAACAGGTGCGAGTTCAGCACAAGTTCTGTGAGAAGCCTAAGCACTTCTTGGTAACCGCAACCAATAAGCTCTGCGGTAAGTTGGCGGGGAGCTGTCAAGAAGGGCAGGTTCATGTCCCTTGCAGGGCCTCGCGCATGATGCTTGCGGCAAGGAGGTTTTTCTGACCAGGTTTGCTCAGAGGTCTCCCCACGCAAGCTCTATGCCAAACTATAGCTCTAGTCGTGGAGGACGCAGGTGAGCTCAGTCAGTTACGCCGCTCCCGTCAATTGGTCGCTCCCGCGCTGGGTCAGGTCGGAATTGAGCAGTGGGCGCAGTGTAGAAGGGTCGGCGCCATGAAGCCGGCGCACGTCAGCCGCAAAAACTCTTTCCTTGATATTGAATGTGAGCCAGGCCAATCGGCCCACCTCTCACGGTTTAGCCAGAGATCTCACCAGCGAGCACGGGTAATATTATCCGTGATGAGTGTGCAGAGCCAGTGACGTCTCCTAGACGTTCCATGCCCTTCGGATACCGCGTCAATGCCTTTTTTCTGACGTGCCGGCAAGGTCTCTCCAGCAAAAGATGGTGGCAGTTCAATAAGCTTTCGATTTCAGGGCAAGATCTTTAAGAGGTGTTCAGCACTTCCTGTTATTGACGGCTGGCAGCCTCAGGTCTATTTGGAACGCTGGAAACTGTTGAGGATGGATCCTGTGTTGGCCAATTTGGGTCTGTGCGAAGGTTCTTGGCTGTGACAACTGGGTCCCTGCTAAGGAGGCTCACGGTTATCTAGAGGAACAAAGTTCGCAGGCGCGACAGTGCGACCTCGGACTTCACTCACCAGATGGCTGTGATCACTGAGAAGCTCCAGTTGCCCAGCACGGATCTCAACGTTTCCTTTCCCATTGGGTCAGATCTCATGACCAGCGCTTGGCCTGCTGCTGGGTTCTTGACTACAGGAAAGCTTCTCATCAGTTGCCGGTTCGGCCAGGTCCAGGTCATCGCAAATTCGCAGTGATCTGCGTGGAGGGCAGCGATCACTGACATCCGTGCTGCTGTCTGCAAGCTCGTGGCCTTCAACTTCTACGGTCACCGTCGTTTCACCTGTCACCTTTTCCTTACTTACAACCCACCTTTCCATTCACCTTAATTCTACCATTATTCCTGTTAAAAGTATGGCTTCGAGATCACTCAAAACAGCAATGTCTGCCTAGATGATCGCGGATGCTGTTCACAGCTGGCTGGGAGTGGGCTTAGAACGCAAGAAGCTGCAGTCCTCTGCGTTGCCCGTGATCACGGGTGTCACCCGCAATCTTGAGAGGATGATTCTTGAGATCAAGAAGGACAAAGAGGAAGAACTCGTCGAGTTGATAGAGGCAGCTCAAAAGAAAGCTGATGTTCGGATCCAGCCAGCTCTGGACACAGTTGGACGAGCCCTTTTCAGATCCATTTTTGAGAGGCCTCTCTGGAGAGGTCTCTGAGACAGTGGAGAAAGGCGGTCCTCTTAGGCCCGCCAAGAGAGATCTCCTACGAAGAGGGTGGATTTGGTCATCCTGAGTCATCCTCATTCATGGATTCACGTGAGACCACGCATGGTGTTGGAATTCTCTTCCATGGGAGGCTTCATCAGGCTCGGCAGTTTATTGAGGTGATCCCCAAGGAGTTCTCCAAGAGGTGGTGAGTTCGCAAGACGCAAATAGTTCACATGCATTGAGATGGTTTCTGTGATCCTGGCCTTGCAGACTTTCCAGGACAGGGTGAAGGGTAGAGACGTTCTTCTCTACGTAGAGGCGGTTCTTGTGAAAAGGGATACTCTTCCAGGGAGGATCTCTCAGCCAACATTTTCATAAATAGGATCTCGTCAGATGCTAAGCCGGCAGATTGGCCATCGAGTGGATGGCTGCATCTTGGCGAGCGATCGGGCTTGCGTACAATTCCTTGCTGCTGGCCGGAAGTTCTGGCAAGTAAGTGCTCGTGAAAAACCATGCCAATTTCATGGAAATGTTGCAGACTGGATAGACCTGGGTGGAAAGCTCTGTTGTCTAGATTCGCAGAGCTGCCGTGAAGGCTTGTGGCAGAACGCTGGTCGCAGTTGGCGATCGTTACCCATTTCGGATTCCAGGAGAGATTAGAGCGAATTTTGATCAGGAAGGGCTGCTCAACCCCACGGCAGAGCAGCAACAAGGCTCAAAAACGTGCAGCCTGCATTTGTTGCTTGTTCAAGCTGACCGCGTGAACGTGTGAACGTTTCTTGATGTAAAGTGGGCTTCTTCATGTTGATTTCAGGGCAACCCTGAGCTTCAGAACACCCGGCATCCCAAATTGAAACTCAGGCTCAGCCTGCCTTCTGCGCGCGCCTTTAAGATGCCAAGCTCCCGCTCGGCCACGGAGTCTGCTGCAGAGGCGCGGCATTTGTTTTTTCAGATGTTCCACGTCGTGCCAGTTGTTTTGATGTCCCGTAGGGCCGGAGCAAACAAAATTAGGAAGACTCCCAACAACAGGTCACAGGATTAAATACCAATTAGGTAAAAATTGTCATGCAAAACCAATTTTCTACTTGATGCACTTTTTTCTATTTCTGCTTGCTTCCTTTCTGCCCTGCAGTCCCGCTTGTTTGGGCACGGCTGCAGATGTGCCTAGCCCTTGCCCTGACAGAGAGCCCACAAAGGCGGAGGGTGCTCTTACACAATCATTGATGTGCGTTCCCAAACTGAAGAAATATCTTGTGTGTTAGATGTTGTGAAACATGTTGACTTAATTCACGTTTGCTCGATGGTGCTTTTGGAGGCCCCGAAGCCTCCCAGTGGACTCTTTGCCTCGCTCTGCTCTGGGCCAGTACGCAGGGTGCTTGGAAGATGCCTATATTTGTGCCAATACATGTATCTGCCTCATTTTGAGACGGTGAGCGATCTCTACGTTTTTGGGACATGATGAGCTTCATGCGGACCTGTTTAGAAGCATGCTCATAAGTTCAGGCTAAACCTCAGTCCAAGTTCGACCCCATGGTCAGACAGTGGACAGCATGCCAAGCCAAAAAGAATGGATGGCCACACTACTTGCAGCCTGTCAGTTTGACCTCCTCTTGACTGAGGTGCCGCTTCGAGCAAGGTGGTGTCCAAGGCATGCCTACTCCTCTTGTTTTCGTTGATCCCAATCCAGAACCCAATCCATCCATCCAGTGTGGCATTTTGGGTTCCGGGAACAGGGTGGTAGTGGGTGGTGGTGTGCAGCTAAGCCACCAGGCCTCAAGCTTCTGGGACAGCCTCCCGAAGATCGCAGTCAGCCCAGCTTTCGAAACGACAGCTGTTTTCAGAAGGCAGAAACCAATGCCATAACAGAGTTGAACGTCTTGCAAATTGCACATGAATGAGCTTGTGCAACCCAGGTGGAGCGGCTTTTTCAGGAGATGAAGGTAGAGCCAGCAAGCAGGGAGCCTGAATGCCAGACTTGTGCACACATCCTAGGGCCTAAGGTTCACGTACCTTGAAGGACCTTCGTCAAAGGAATTTGCAACGCTTGGGAGAAAGCTTGCCTCGATCACTGCGTGATGGTTTCCAGCAACACATATCCAATCAGTGTGTTACAGCGAGTAACTTTGCATTGCAAGGGCTTCATCAGAAATAGCTCACGCAAGACCATCTCACGCTGGCAGCCTTGATCGCTTGATGTGGGCGAGCCCGCCAGCTGGTAGCCATGACGCGTAAGATCAAAGCAAACTGCAAGGAAGGCGCAGGCGCTGAAGTTCTTTTACTTGGCGAAGCCAACTTCTCCTTTGCTTTGGCACTGCTGGGCCTGCTCCTTCCACCTGCAAAGCCTGCGAAGCGGCCGGGGCAGCAGCCAGGGCAAAAAGAACAGGACGAGCTTTGGGAGCAAGCCCTGAAGGAGAGGTTGGGCATCGTCGCGTCCTACCTGCAGCTACCATCAGAGGCATGCAAAAGCCTCAGGCTCACCGCGACCTGCTACGAGAGTCACCCTGAGCCCTGGTTGCATTGGAACTTTTTGTAAGGGTTTTTGTTTGCCTTGAGCCCTCCCTGGTCAAGGAGCTGGTTGAAAAATATCCGGAGGCAGTTGGCATCTTGTCCCGACTTCGTGACTTCGGGGACATGGTGGAAGTGCGATTTTCTGTGGATGCGCTTTGTCTGGAGAGCTTTGGTGACAGTCGCTGGGATGTAGTCGCTTGGAATCATCCGCATCTTGGCACCGAAGATCTCAAGCTCCACGGCTATCTTCTTGCCCATTTTTTCGACACGGCAGCCAGATCTTTGCGCCGGAATGGGAGAGTGGTGCTTGCTCTCCTAGAAGGACAAGAGGCGAGGTGGGAACTTGCCAAGCACGCCGCTGCGCAGGGCTTCAAAGTTCATAAGGCTGTGCCCTTTGAGACCTCTTCCTTTCCTGGCTACGAATGCAAGCGGAACAGCACAGGCAAATCCTTCAAAAATTTGCACGTGCAGAAGGCAACTGCAGCGCCGATGCTGAGCCGATTGTACCATCTGCTCCATGTTGAGTCTGGACTTACAGAGTTTTTCGAAGGGGCGGACGTGACCGCACCTGTTGCACACAACACAGCAAATGCCATTGCAGAGACTTCACTTGCATGCAACCACTGTGGCAAGGTGTTCTCGACTTGCCAGGGCTTGAAAACTCATGTACGGCAGGTCCATGAGCTGAAGAAGTATGGCGACCGAGCCAGCGTGGAACACAAGTGTGAGTGCGGCCGCGCCTTTCGGGATGCAGAGGCGCTGTCCCAGCACAAACGTGCTGCTCACAACAACAATCATGGAGCTGCCCAAGGCGGATCAAGACGTCAAGGCTATAGCTACAGAAGCTGCGAGGTGTGCGGAATGTCCCTGGCTTTAGGGACCTCCATGGCTGCGCATCTGGAAGCGCTGAGGCCCGTGGACCGAAGAGTCTTTTGTGCCTGTGGCCGCTCCTTCCCCGAACCGCGGGCTCTGGAACAGCACCTGCGAACCTGTGCTGAAGCGGCTTCCTTGGCTGAACCTAAAGCTGCTTGTACGTCTTCCGTGTTCGTGCACGGGCTGGGTGGCTTTCTGCAAAGGCTGTGTTGGCCTTGCCAGATGGGCATTTTCGCGCGGAAAATGGACCGGGCTCTCTGCTCCAGAAAGGATTCCGACAACTGTTGGATGTATTTCTTGTCCGTGTCTCTACATCCCATTAGGGATGCCATGACTCTTGAAGCCATAAGGTCTGGAAACGGCGCAGTGCTGTGTGCTTTCCTTCGTCGAGGACCTGTAGCTGAAGGGTGACACCGTGAACGGTAAGTCTTCAGGTACATTCCTCTAAAGGAATGTAACATGTAGCAGCAGCATCCTTCAGCTGTAATCTCTGTGAGAGACCGTTTACCTTCGAAGACATGGCGCATTGTGACAGTCAAGTCTGACCAGTACAACCCTCAAAAGGCCTTGCTGGACTTCGCGAAAGCTCTCAGCACAGAGTGCAAGGACTGAGGTTCTGCCCGTTTGCATGACAAGTGGTGCTTCTTTGCTGCTGGTTTCATGGGTTCTGAATTTTCAGAGGATTGAGGTCGTCCAGCCACTTTCAGCTGAGGCCGTGTCCAGGGAACGACTGATCAGCTTGACTTGACGGTCTGACGACTTCAGCTCTATTTTGAGGAGTGCAGGCTCCTGCTACTCAAAGGAGGTTGGCAAGGATGCTGATGGTCAGTGTTTAGGAAGCTGCATGCCGAGGACCATGTTCTGCTCTTGCACCCTCCTGAAACCTGTTGGATGTTCAGTTTTCGTAGTCTCCCATGAAGATGTTTGCCGTGATGCTTGCTGCTGGGGTGTGATAACTTGCCGACTTGCCAGTGACGACAGCTTGTCGACTTGAAAGCTTTGGCTGGTGAAGGGAATCCAAACGTTTTAATTAAACTCCGAGGCGACCCGACTGCATGTAGTTGCAAAGTTGCGACCAATT